CCCTTTAAATGGCCCCCAGAGCACCGTGCAGAATGCGCCGGCGGCTCTTAGGGCTGCCGGGGGAGGCAGGGCGCTGAGCCGTGTGCTCCAAAAAGGCACTGGCTAATAAGTATTGATGGGATTATCCTCCATGATTTTATCTGGTTCTTTTTTTGAACTCTGCTATTGTGTTGGCCTTCACAACATCCTCTGGCAAAGGATGTTGCCTTCCTTTTACTTTCTTAAGCCTTCTGCCCATTCATTTCATTTGGTGACCCCCTAGTTTTTGTGTTATGAGAAGGCAGGGCCATTGACGGAGGGGGAGGGAAAGGGGACAGCTGCCCTGAGGCCTGGCAATTTAAAAGAGCCTGCTGCCACCACGGGGGCAGCTGGAACCCCAAACTCTTTAAATCCCTTTGGAGCCCTGGGTGATGCTGAAGCTCCCTGCACTGCCCGTTCTGGCTGAAGCCCTGCTTCTTCTGGGGGCCTGGAGCCACTCCCCGCCCCTTCACAGACACCTTGCCCAGGGCTCAGCAAAGCCCGTTGGCTGCCTTATTCCCATGATGATGTATGCTAAGAATCTAGGGTCTGATCCAAAGCCCACTGAAATCAGTGAAAAGACTCTTCTTAACTTCAGTGAGGTTTGGATCAGGCTCCCGTCTAGCAAGTAACCCGTCTACTACAAAAGAAGAAAAGGCAGCACCTCAAATCCCTTCTGGAGTTTTTTTAGTAAGTTGAAATTTAAAATACAATGAACTTACAAATGCTTTCTCCTGATCGTCTCCTGTTACAGTCCAGCCGTCTGCCTGCCGTCTGCCTGCCCTCTCTGTGTGCTTTATCTGCTAATGAATAGGGGAAGGAAATAAGGCAGGAAAACGTTGTCATCTAATTTAATTTATTTATTTTCCTCTTTCTTCTTATTTGCCCAGTGCAATGTGACCTAAGATGTCCTGGAATTTATGGTCAGAAGGGACCATGTGTGGGATACCTCATGCAGAGTGCGCTCCACACCCAATAACTTCTCCACCAAGACTTTAACTTCTGGTTGAACTTTGCAGATTTTAGAAAGCCAGTCAGTTTTCATTTCAGGAATGCGAGTGATGGAAAATCACCACATGCGTGTTTCACTGGTTAATTGCTTTCCCTGAGGCATGAATCCTTATTTATAGTTTGAATTTGTGTCATTTCAGCTTCAAACCTGCCTTTTTCTATGTCTAGACTACAGGCTTTTGTCGACAGAGGCTTTGTCGACAGATACGAATGTTTGCCCATGGACACGCTGAGGAGTGGCTGGCCAGAGTGGAGTTTTAGCTAAGAAAGAAGATAAAGTTCTGGAAAGTGATGACTCATTGGCTGGGGATGCTTGTGAAACTGCACTGGCACAAGCTGGAAGTGAGTTGTGGGAGGAAGCATCACGTGAGCAGCCACCGTGTGTGCGAGTTGGCGATCTGGCTGGTAAAAGTAGCTGTGGGTCAGTGAAGGAAGCTGTTTTGGTCACTAGCTGGATGCCTGAGAATAGCCAGGGTTTTGGGACAAAGGAGAAACGTCCACACTGCCTTCTTGCACAAGAGCTCTTGCACAAGAGGGCTTACACCTGTTAGAAAAGAGCGTAACTCTTGTGCAAGAAGCCCTCTCTTCCGACGCCATATGGTAAATCTGCTTGCGCAAGAGCGGGTGAGCAGTGTGGTCGCTCTGCAGGTTCTTGAGCAAGAACAGCCGATCTTGCGCAAGAACCCACCAGTGTAGACATAGCCTGTGGGTTTCACTCTGGCAGGGCAGGGTTTGTCTCAGATGCTTTCTGTCAGCTCACTGGATGAAGGGCCGGGGGGAGGAAATGCAAAGGGGCTATAGCGGTAGCTGGGCCATGCAGGAGGCAAAAACTGGGGGCAGGAGTGCTGCGTGTGTGCGGTTCGGGGCAGCCGGCGAGCTTGGGGAGGGCTCTCGCTGCCCATTCACCCTTCTCTGCCAGGCCCATGGAGTAGGCTGCAGCCCCGGGCTTGCAAGCCGCGCTCGGCAGGGGGATGGAAAGTTTCACCTCCCTTTGCAACTCTGATTCCTTTGCACGCAGTGGCTGGTGGGTCTAAACCTGTGGGTGGGGGTGAGCCTCCTTCTTGCAAAAAGGTAGCGAGGGATGCTGGTGGTGGTGGTGGGGGCGCAGCAACTCCGGGGCCATCCTCTAAGGCTGATTGGGGCTGCTGATGTGCCCAGGGGTTGATTGACAGGCCAGGCCAGCACCTCGTGGACCATGGTATCCTTCTGATGATTTGTATGTGGTGCTGGGCAGGTGTTTGCTTCCTTGCCTCCCTGTGTCACTTCCCTGGGGCCTCTTCAGGTGAGCTGGGTGTTACGGGACCCATGCAACTCCGGGGCCATCCTCTAAGGCTGATTGGGGCTGCTGATGTGCCCAGGGGTTGATTGACAGGCCAGGCCAGCACCTCGTGGACCATGGTATCCTTCTGATGATTTGTATGTGGTGCTGGGCAGGTGTTTGCTTCCTTGCCTCCCTGTGTCACTTCCCTGGGGCCTCTTCAGGTGAGCTGGGTGTTACGGGACCCATGGACGTTAGGCCGTTGCCTGCCAACAAGGAAATGTTGTTTTTCTATTAATAATAATAATTAATCATAAATAGCGCCCATCTTTGTCCAGCTACCATGTCAACTGAGTCCATTGGCTGAAAACCGGGGATCCTAGTTTTCTGTGATCACCCACTCGAATTTTCTGATTAAAAAAACCCATCAGAGTCTGCACTTCCCAGCCATTCCAATGAAATGGTGAATTGTAGGGGCCCTGCTCCAGTGTGTGCAGGGATCAGTTCTTGGTTCGACTTTCTCTTCCTTCAGCTTTGTTTGGCACTTTCCATGGGCTGTCCAATTGGCTGCGTTTCAATGTCGTCTACAGAGCAGAGGAGCCCAACTACTAATTCCTCCCCATGCCACGCCTTCCCGGTAATCCCCAAAGCCGTGTTCTCGGAGGACAGGGTGCCATGGGAACAGGGCGGGGCAGTGGCAGGAAGGGGCGGGGCTTGGGGAACAGGAAGAGACCTCCCCCCCCCAAGCCCACTAGGACTTCTGGATCATAGAGTATGTCTTCTGACCCCAGTTCCCGCAGCTAGTGTTACAGAGTGGATGTGAGCAGAACTCACTTTCCATCACGCGCTTTCTTTTTCTTAGCATCCTTTTGTACTGCTGAGCTCAAAGAATCTGGAAAAAGTATCTGTTTCTGAGGCCATTGCCCTGCTGATTTGAGAAACACCATTTTTCCCCTATAGATCTGATCTTGACTCTTTGGTGAGGCTGTGGACAATGCGGGGGAGGCAGGATGACAAAATCATTCCTAGTTTTGAATCCAAGCCTCTGGAGTTTGTCATTTCCCCCCGGTTGTTGTATCAAATATCGGCATGGAAAGCCACACACCCTCTTTCTCGCTTCTTAGAAGTGAGCCAGTAAATCTTGCACTACTACAGGTTGAAGCTCTCTAGTCTGGCACTTTCTGGTCCAGAAACATCTATGGTGCAGCATGATTTTAATTAGCCAGGCATCCACTTATGGGTGTGGCCAAATTCCTCACAGTCCCGTAAAGTTTGTTTACAGCCACCAGTCCTAACTCTCAGTGTTCCATGCTGTTATTTAGCTCTAATTTACCCCATATGTCTTCTAAGAGTCCACACACTTGGACTGAAGTGGAGATGAACGTAGGAGATAGCTGTGTAGAGAGTCTCTGGGTTAAGCTAAAAGGGGTAAAAAACGAGGGTGATATCATGCTAGGAGTCTACTACAGGCCACCTAGCCAGGTGGAAGAGGTGGATGAGGCCTTTTTTAAACAATTAACAAAACTATCCAAAGCCCAAGATTTGGTGGTGATGGGAGACTTCAACTATCCAGACATATGTTGGGAAACTAACACAGCGAGGCACAGGCTATCCAATAAGTTTCTGGACTGCATTGGAGACAACTTTCTGTTTCAGAAGGTTGAAAAAGCTACCAGAGGAGAAGCTGTTCTGGATTTGGTTTTAACAAATAGGGAGGAACTAGTTGAGAACTTGAAAGTGGAAGACAGTATAGGGGACAGTGACCACGAAATAATAGAGTTCATGATCTTAAGGAAAGGTAGAAGGGAGACCAGCACAATTGAGGTAATGGATTTCAGGAAGGCAGATTTTGATAAGCTCAGAGAACTTGTAGGTAAGGTCCCATGGGAAGCAAGACTGAAGGGAAAAACAACTGAGGAGAGTTGGAAGTATTTCAAAGGGACGTTGTTAAGGGCCCAAAAGCAAACAATTCCGCTGTGTAGGAAAGATAGAAAATATGGCAAAAGACCAGCTTGGCTTAACAAGGAGATCTTGCACGATCTCAAAATAAAAAAGGAGTCATATAAAAAATGGAAACTAGGACAACTAACAAAGGATGAATATAGGCAAGCAACACGGGAATGCAGGGGCAAGATTAGAAAGGCAAAGGCACAAAATGAGATCAAACTAGCTACAGGCATAAAGGGAAACAAGAAGACCTTTTATAAATACATTAAAAGCAAGAGGAAGACCAAGGACAGGGTAGGCCCACTGCTTAGCGAGGAGGGAGAAGCAGTAACAGGGAACTTGGAAATGGCGGAGATGCTCAATGACTTCTTTGTTTCGGTCTTCACCGAGAAGTCTGGAGGTGTGCCTAACGTAGTGAATACAAGCAGAGAGAGGGTAAGTTTAGAAGATAGGATACACAAAGAACAAGTTAAAAATCACTTAGGAAAGTTAGATGTCAGCAAGTCACCAGGTCCTGATGAAATGCATCCCAGGATACTCAAGGAGCTGATAGAGGAGGTATCTGAGCCTTTAGCTATGATCTTTGAAAAATCATGGCAGACAGGGGAGATTCCAGAAGACTGGAAAAGGGCAAATATTGTGCCCATCTATAAAAAGGGGAATAAGAACAACCCAGGAAACTACAGACCGGTCAGTTTAACGTCTGTCCCAGGGAAGATAATGGAGCAGGTAATTAAGGAAATCATATGCAAACACTTGGAAGGTAATAAAGTGATAGGGAATAGCCAGCATGGGTTTGTGAAGAACAAGTCATGCCAAACTAATCTGATAGCTTTCTTTGATAAGATAACGAGCCTTGTGGATAAGGGAGAAGCGGTGGATGTCATATACCTAGACTTTAGTAAGGCATTTGATACGGTCTCGCATGATATTCTTATTGATAAACTAGGCAAATATAACTTAGATAGGGCCACGATAAGGTGGGTGCATAATTGGCTGGATAACCGTAGTCAGAGAGTTGTTGTTAACGGTTCTAAATCCTGCTGGAAAGGGATAACAAGTGGAGTTCCTCAAGGGTCTGTTTTGGGACCCATACTGTTCAACATCTTCATCAATGATGTAGATATTGGGATAGAGAGTACGCTTATTAAGTTTGCAGATGATACCAAACTGGGTGGGGTTGCAACTTCTTTGGAGGATAGGGACATAATTCAAAATGACCTTAGCAAGTTAGAGAAATGGTCAGAGGTAAACAGGATGAGGTTTAATAAAGAGAAATGCAAAGTGCTCCACTTAGGAAGGAACAATCAGTTCCATACATACAAGATGGGAAGCGACTGTCTAGGAAGGAGCATGGCAGAAAGGGATCTAGGGGTCATAGTGGACCACAAGTTGAATATGAGTCAACAGTGTGATGCTGTTGCAAAAAAAGCAAATATGATTCTAGGTTGTATCAACAGGTGTGTTGTAAGCAAAACTCGTGAAGTCATTCTGCCGCTCTACTCTGCACTAGTTAGGCCTCAGCTGGAGTACTGTGTCCAGTTCTGGGCGCCACATTTCAAGAAAGATGTGGAGAAATTGGAAAGGGTACAGAGAAGAGCAACAAGAATGATTAAAGGTTTAGAGAACATGACCTATGAAGCCAGGCTTCATGAACTGGGCTTGTTTAGTTTGGAAAAAAGAAGATTAAGGGGGGACATGATAGCGGTTTTCAAATATCTAAAAGGGTGTCACAAGGAGGAAGGAGAAAATTTGTTCCTCTTGGTTTCTGAGGACAGGACAAGGAGTAATGGGCTTAAAGTGCAGCAGGGGAGGTTTAGATTGGACA